CTGATCCCAATGACAGTCCACCATTAGCTGCACACACAGAAAAAAATGCCCAGTGCAGCCATTAACTCTCCTCCTAGAATCTTGATACAGCTATAAATGAGATGGGTAACAAGGGTTTTCACATGAGTCACTCATAAGGTCTGTCCCATACATTTATATCCTCTTATTTGTTATGCAAAAATAATATGAAGCTTGAAATCAAAAACAACGAGGTCTTGGAAACACCACATGTTATTCCAGCTAATTATACAAATTTGATAAGACTATAAAGAAAGAAAAGTAAGTGGAAAGGAAATTGTTAACAATGGGAAAAAGAATATTCATCTATGATGCAAAAAAGGCTGGTGAATCAAATTCAGTGATCATCAATCCAGTGTAGTATTTGTAGTATTGGAGCAGATTAGGTAAAAGCCCCAAGCCTGTCTTGAGATCTTCACATTCAATTAACCAAGACCTGTGTCCACTTTGAAGTTGTATCATCTCACCAAGTAGGATCATTGACCACGTAATTGACGATTTTCAAGACATTCTCAGCTTTCCTTCTACTAACCTCCAGAACCTAATTTGATACGGATAAAAAGGGGGGTTAAGGTTTGCCCAATGGAAGATTGATGAAAAAAAATAAAAATAAAAAAGGTTAGGTTATGAATGCCTAAATATTTGGATCAAACTGGGAAAGTTCTACACCATACCTCATCATGATTGGCCGTCTCTTCTTTCCATTTCAGCCCCACAGAAGAGCCCTCATTTTTCAAAACCAAATCTTGCGAGACCGCTTCTGCAGCACTACGACGGACCGTCAGAACGACTGAATTGGTAACTAGGGACAATGTCAGAACTCGTAATCCGGCATGTCGGGCTGCAATCACTTCCGGCACCGTCCTATGTCAATTCAAGTGTGTGTGTTTTTGTTAAGAGCACAGTGGTCCAACGGCCGAGGAAAACAAACAACCACCTTGGTGAGATTGATTTACAAATAGATACTTTGCTCTTTCTTTTCTGAGAATCGAAGGATGAAATAACTGACGACATTCCGACTACATCTGCACCCATACTTCGTATAAATAAACCCTCTGCCCTGGTTTCATATGTTGGTCCTGTAACCTGTCCAAGAAAATAAGAAAAAGAAGCAAAATTACCTTTTAAGTGAATCCAAGTATTTATCTCTGATAGTGACTAATAGTCTTCACCCATGCATAGACTCCTTCTTGAACGTCTTGTGGTTGCAGGCCAATCTGAGAAATTGATCGAAAGACTGATTTTCTCATTTCAAAATCATAAGCTGATTTTATTTGATTAGAGGTTAAGTTGTATTCAAATCCACCACAAGAATGAGTGTGTCAATAATTTTTCTGCGCCAGTGAAATCCATCTCCAAGATCAAGTTCGTAAAATGAAATCAAATCATCATACCATTAGACATCGGGGTAAACCGAGGACCAACAATGTCTGAATTAGGACCAATCAAGGGATTGTAACAGGCCTATAAAGCAAAAAGAACCCAACGCTATTTAATGGCCAGTTTTCTCCATAAAATCAAGTTACATTGGGTAGCCTTACCAAAGAGGGTAGCGAGACGTGGTCGTTAAGAGCGATGATAGTTCCTACCGGAATGCTTGGGTTAACAGCTCCTGCTGCATTGGTTACTGTGGTACATGCGAGAAAAAAAAAAGACAAAGATTAACGCCTTTGACTAGAATAGTGAGACTAAATGTACAGCACAATATATAACCTAGTTCACGAACTTATAACAGCCTGACAGCCTAATAACTTAAACAATCGGACCGTAAAAACGACGTCTTTCATTTGATAACCTCTGAATGAATTTTACTTTGACTCAGTAACTCCTTGAGAATTTGTTCCCCAATACATAGACCAGCGCTTACTCGTAGAAATGTAGCCTTGGTTCCACGACGGATTGGATTAAAGGGCCAGAAGGAAAAGGGAGCTGGTTAGCAGTATGCCACATTTTTTAATGAACTGGACATATACGAATAAGATAAAATTTACCTTCCAGATTGACAAACAACACGAGTTCCACCAAGGTTACCAAACACCAGGCCTTTAGCTTCATGTCCTTGTACGACAGAGATAGTCCGAAGTCGAGGCCATTGATCGATCTGATCGTAGCTGATCATTTCTGGCTCTTGAAGCTTGGTGGCCAGTTCGCCCAGACCGGAACCACAGACGATTCCGACCTTGGGGGCGTGGTCTGGGTTCTTGAGTAGCCCTCTGATTGACTTGTACGCAGGTCTGAGTCGGTCATCAAGGACATCGAATCCGGATAGCAAAACTTCGAAATCAGGTTCTGACATCTTGGATTCGATTGCGCCGGTGGATTCGAGGATATATACCAAATCAAACGATGATGGAATGTGTGTCCAAGAAAATACGATCTTATATGTCGTTCACGGTTTGGCTCCTGTGCGAAATTTTATAAGTTGATTCAAGCTCAGTGGGGTCCGAACTATAGATAAGATGTTAGGAAAACTCGCACCTGGTTCTCCTGAGGGGGCGTTACTTATAGTTTTTCTCAGCCTTGGTTCGAGTGCTTTGTTTCTGGAGTGGTGGTGATTGGTCCGATATGGCTGTCCATCGCTCGAAAGGGTTCGTTCTTGACTTCAAACAATCAGGGTCCGCTGACGTCATCGCTCGATCGCAGGTGACAAATTGCCTTCAATGGCTCACCAGGGCCCGCCGGGCTTCACCTCGTCCTGCCTGGATTGGATTTCCACTCTCCAGCAACAAGCCGAAGACTTACTCGACATACACAGTCAGCTTGGCAAGCATTCTCCACTTCTGCCGGCGCCCTTCTCATGCAAGCGTCTTCGGTATGTAACACCGCACCCTTGCCTGTGGGGACTTGAACGGGCAAATCACATTCTGGCTACATCCACCGAGGCTTCCTTTGAAGACCTTATTTGGTGGTTTCATTGATCTAAAGAAGCACTGCGCACCCTCAGAGCGTAAGCGAAGCTAGTCTGCTTGATAGGATGTGTTGATCACTCTAGGCGGCATTTGCGTCAAGCATTGGACACTGCCAATTTGGTGGCTATGGCCGCAAGGGCAGTGTTTGTGTCACTCAATCACAGACATTGCATTCGCCATGGAGGGGGCTCAACATGCCCTTGATCATCTTTGTATTTTAAATCAACCTTCAAGAAACATTTTCTTCTTGAAGCCCGGAATCAAAAGACATGGGGCGGGGAGAAGCGCCGCAGGTCATTTTGAGGTACAATTTGAGCACCGCAAAAGGAAAATTATACTAGTTTGACACAAGTACCTCCATTGGCCCGGAGGGTCGCTTGCCTCCGCGAGCTTTGGACTCGGAGACACTTCCGATCGAGAGCCCTGTGTTGAGCTTGAAAATTATAGCTCCTCAGGGCATGATTATCTGAGGCGTGGTGGGACAATCTGTGTCCAGTCGGTTCTACTGCACTCCGCTGGATTCCGGCCGCATAATTGGACGGGCACAATGTGTTCGAGACACCTTCCCGACCGATTCAAGTCGACAGTGTCGGGAATATGTACCAGAATATCTTATACATATTTACCACATCTTGAGCTTTCGGCAGGGTGGTATGTATAGGTGCTTATGGGCTGTGCCGGTCGTGCCGGTTGCCGTGTGCGGCGTTGCCTCATCATCACGATACCATCTGTGATATTGTGCGGTTGGAAAAAAGCACGAATGCTTGACCTCACATCTCATTGTATGCACATGCTGACCGAAAACACCGAAAACTTCACCAAGAATACGGAATCGACGGCTAAACCATTCCCTGGTTGTAAACGTGCCGATTCAGCTGAGCTCCAATTGATCACAAAGCGAAGGATTCCGGACTCGGAGTTTCCATTCTAGCTGAGAAACGCCTTCAAGCTCAATGCGATGTGCAATCCACAGACCGTAACCTGACCATTGCCGATTTTTGTTGGAATGTTTGGATAAAACCATCTCGCAACGGGCAAGCCTGGAGTGATGAAATTGACAACTTCGCAGGAGCGCCGCCGTGCCCACCACAAAGTAAGGAAGGAATGAAGCAGGAAGCGGCATCCTCGGATTTAAAGATGGCATGAAGTGTTGGCAACACTCAAGACGTATGTATACAGGCTCATATGATCTGGAGATCGGCCGAGTTCCCCGGGGAACAAAATTCGCAGTCGGCTGCTCTTCAGCGCATGGATGGTCCTACATATGATCCTTTCTTGGACACCATTCAGCCCGACAGCCGTACTCAGCACATGCCTGGAAGGGCGGCTTGGCGGGCTTCAACACTGACGCCTGGCGGAATGTGTCTTAGAGGCTTTTTTATGTACACCCCCACCGACGTTACCAGTGACAACAGGTTAAGAACGTTTTTCTTGCGGGGATATCGGTTGGATAAAGGATTGCCGAAGGATTTCACCAGTTGATACACCGGTTTGTATATTGGAGCACAAGTCCAGCGATGAGGACCATCTGTGCATGTATTTTTCGGTACAACTTACAAGTGCAACTCAATGGTCTCTCAATTGAGCACTACTGCTAGTGGCGAGTCTTTGGCGTTCAGCACCGCTTGAACAGTATCTCCATTGTCGGAACTATCGAGTTCAGGTGCGTATAGCATGGTTGACGAAGGCATCAGCCTTTGCCACACTGTTGTTGGGCGCGTCGTGTCCGGGAGTTGGTCAAGCATAAATAGGGGAGGACTGGCGGCCATTCTGATCCTCCATCACCATCTCAAAGTACAATTTCCAATCCCAGATCTTAAAGCGCTAAGGCCAACAAAGCTATATAACTGTTTCAAACTTATCAATATTTTCACCTGAACCATGTTCTTTCAAACCCCTTCAAGACTCCTCCTGGTTGTAGGAATCGCGTTATGTCTCTACACAGCTGAAAGCTCGGCGGAGAGTGTCTGCCACGCGTGGTGGAAGACGTTGCCTCCAGGCTCACGCACCATGACAGTCAAGTTGGTAAGTAACCGGGACGCATACTTGCTAGCAAAATCGAGGGGGCTCTGACGATTTACTCTGTCTCTGTCTTTCCCCAGATGAAACAAACTAATGTTCGTGTAATCAAAAGTCTAGATTTGAAGGCGCCCAAGGTCAGAAAGCTTCCCACTTTGCACTTGATAAACCGAAGAAATCTTCTAATCCTTGAATTGTTTCCAAATTTCAGGCTAAACTTTTGGGTTCAGGAGCCAATGGAGGAGTGAGTTTCCAATTTTCTGATTGGTCATGAATTTTTGAAGGAGAGCCTTTACAGTTCGTATCGCCCGACTAACAACCCCCTTTCTAGGCTTGCGGAAAACCGTACGGCATCAAAGATAAAGGCATCTGTCTTTGGGCTGGGACGAATTCAAAATCGGAGATACCTAAAGGACTCGATTCTGGTTGGGTTACCGGGTGGGTGAACGGTAGAGATCTATTGAGTAAATTGATGAAGACAAAAGAAAAAGCTTACACTTTGTCCATTTAATGACTTCTTTTCGTTTGCAGAGGGTCTAAGCAAAACTGTGGCAAGAAAGTGTATGTTTTGTTGCAAAGAGGTCCATATTGCTCATCATCAGTCTGATTGTTGGACTCTCTTGTTACAGTTCTGCCACAAGTGTTAAAGGTCGCACATCCGAAGGCACAGTCCTCGATGTTTGTACTTTCGATGAAGCCGGCCGCAAACTTTCCGTCGAAGTAGGTTGTTCGATGATGTATGTCTCACTTGCTGTGAGTATATTGCGTACAATTTCGATATTTTACCCTTTATTTTGGTTCACAACAAGAATGCTCATTCATCCCCATTGAATTAGACTTTCCTCGAGCTTGGCGGGGTCCAGGGCGTTGATAATGACCAGATCCAGATTAAAGAGTGGAGCTTGTGAGTAACTTCTTTCCTATTTGCAAGACTTGTTGCATTTCCAGCGAACACAAGCGCTAATCAAGCGGTCATTGATCTATTCAATCTCACAGTGTCGACCAGCCTTACTGAACGGGAGTCTCTACCCCCAGATAAGCCAATTTACTCATAGGGAGATATTTAAATATGTGGACAATAACCTCTACAAGAAAAAGGGCCTAGTCCCATGTCTTTGCCCTCTTGTTTTCCTTTGTTTTCTCTCAATTTTTTTATACCGGACATTGTTTTTTCCTGAATTCTCCTGTGAATTTGTGTGCATGAAGCTCCATATGCTCTTTTTGGCTACAAATCGAGAGACATGTTTATCTTCCAAAGTGAATTGTGATCATTTTCAGCGAGCTTGTGCCTTTGACCAAGGCTGGTTTGCTTCGCGTGGTGCCGCCGACGCGCCGGGGTTCATCCGTCCCTCTGGAACGAGGAGGTTATATTAGAGTATCTTTAACGGAGCGGGTGTGGATGGGAGGTGACAGGACTGCCAAGAGATGTCACCAATGTCCAAGCACGCGAGTGCCTGGAGGCAGTCAGGACCGGATAGCCGAACTTAACACAAGTCCCCCTGGTGGGAGGCTCGCTGGTGTGACTGGCTGGGCGCGAAGCGCCCCCTCCCGCAGGGAGGGACTTGAAACTTAAAACGCATTTGCGGTGTGACCCAGAAGCACCGTTTTGGTGATGGCGACCTTGTTTACCCCACCACTCATTCATTACAACTCAAATTTATTTTTAATTCATGTGGATGAAAGATCTACATAATCCAGATTTTTAGATATTTTTTTCATTGCAAAAACCAGTCTGGTTCTGGTAGAAAACATGCAGTGAAGTTCATGATTTTGAACTTTGATTTGGAAATTTGGCAGAGAGGCTCGAGCGCACTCTCAGTATAAGCATATTTTATGCCTGCAAAATGAGAATTTGTCTTGTGACAGTGCGTTCTTTTAAAAAAGATTGGTATGGAAATAAAAATATGAAAAAATACAGATAGATCAAGGAGATGTCATAGAACAAGAAAAAAAGCACAATGAACTTTTTTGAGCAATAACATCAAGAACA